AAGTGTTTCAGTCATTGGGCCAGAGTGATTTGACTCTCCTTGGGACAGACTAAAAACTATGCAGTTTTTAGTGGTGCTCTATTCTGCAGCAGCCCCTGACACATTTACTGCTTTGATGGCACCTGCAAAATTGTACCTTAAGTACATCTAAAAGCAGGATATTTTCGAGAGTGAGCACTTGCAGTGAAACAGTTAACTTAGTGGTTGTATTTCTGCTTCTCCCAGTGGTTGTTCTGGGAAGTTTTGTTCTGCATAGCTGATTTAGGTTTTTTGTTTTATTTTTGGCACTTCTTAAAACTCTTATGAATGGGATTGTGCATGATTAAGAATATAGATCTAGTTCAGAGGGTCCCTAATGCTTTAGGTGAATGATAGAAACTTTATTTTGCATTACATAATGTATAATTTTTTTCTCCTTTTGTTTGCTAAATTGTGGCCAGCAGCATGATTTATCCTGAACCTAAAAACTTTGCCAACACATATGTGATTAGAAGTATTAACCATTACCAAGACACATATTTTAGCTATGTAGGCAATCCCATACCAGCTGTGAATCCTTAAGATAACTCAGTCTGAATGACTGGGAAAATTATGAAACCAATTAACAGGCTCAGACAAAATACTGTATTATGCTTATGGATAATCCACAATATTAAACAGTGAGATGTATATTTGGCAGCTTTAATTTGGACAAAGACAATTAAGGTTGATGTTAGAGACTTTGTAAGCTTGAATACATGAGTCCAAAGATTGCATTTCACTGGTCTTTAAGAGGCAGCTGCAAATATCTGACCTGAATTGCCTAAGCACTCCAAATAAGGAAGTTTTCTTTGTAATATAGTACCACAGTTTTCTTTGTATTATAGTACCAAATAATTAATGTAACTCACCCAGTATTAGAAATTATTTCAAATGAGAGATTACAGAAACAAATAAGTATTTTTTGATGTGTTTTTGTTACTTATTGGAAAGGTCGTGCTGCAATTTTAGGAGTTTTACTACAAAATTTGAATAAAATGGGCATATGCTTTTAGACAGCTATTCTGTCCTGTGTTACACAATATATTTTTCTGGTTTTCAAAATGAATTTGAGGAGATCTTTCTTTTCTGTTTGGTGCTAAGCTTATCTAGAGGGCTACAATTTATAGTCATATCTTGTTATATGCTTGTTACATCCTTTTATGTATTCTTTAGACCTTAATTGTCAAATTATGTGACAGTTCAAAGTTCCTGGAATGTAAAAATCTGGTGTCTCTAAATCATTTCTAGTTAAGTAGCTTTAAAGTAAAGAGACACTAATCACTGAATTAATCGGCGTTACAGAAGTGTGACATGCATGAGCACAACAGAAATATGCTGCAATAAGCCTGGTGATGCAGTGCACTGTTTTAATGCACTCATTTTATTTCCTGAAGCAGTCCCTAATGGGCATTTTTTGAGTGACAGCAGAGGTCACTTGGGTGAAGTGCTAGCTGAAGAGTTCCAGCACTGAAGGGTAGCATTAACTTTGAATGAAAACCAGCAAACTAGTTCCTTACTTGAGATAAAAATATCTTAATTAAATATATTCTCTTTAATTTGAAGTATAATTCAAATTGACTAGATTCTTCCCAATATTAGTCAGCAGTTTCTTACAGAAATGGCTGTGCTGAGTTCCCTGTTTAACCACACATTGCCAGATGCAACTACAGGTCATGGGGCTGCTGGCTGGTCAGCTCCTGAAATTCCAGAGCTGCCACAAGGGCTGCAGGACACTGGAAACATGTAATAATTGACTAGATTCTTCCCAATATTAGTCAGCAGTTTCTTACAGAAATGGCTGTGCTGAGTTCCCTGTTTAACCACACATTGCCAGATGCAACTACAGGTCATGGGGCTGCTGGCTGGTCAGCTCCTGAAATTCCAGAGCTGCCACAAGGGCTGCAGGACACTGGAAACATGTAATAATTATTCCCTCATTAAGAGTTTAAAAAGTATGGCTCATTTTGCCTTTTGATTATTTAGAAAATTTGCACAATAGTATAGTTGTATTTTTATTAGTTGCACTTTGTTTTATTTTCATGTTTGCCAGGACACTTTATTCTTTATTTCACCATAAAGTCCTACTTCTTTAGCTGCTTTAATTCTTGTCACTTTTAACTGTGTGAAATGGATTCCCAGACAGCCAACAGGAAATGTTTTTAGGTCAGCAGCTAATTTTCCCAGTCCCATTTTGCAGACTCTTGTGATTTATACCAACTCTATTTATAGAGGAAAGACTTCTTTTAACCTATGAACTTGCTATCCTCATGTTGGCATTTCTTCTATCAGCAGATGTATCTGCTTGTTGAGTGAGGGTGACAGCAAAATTAATAAGCTACATAAGTGGAAAAATGTATTACAACAGACAATAATTTAATAATTTAAAGACAGTCTAGGCACTGCCTGCATCCTGCAATGTTAGTGTGGATGTCAAAAGTACCATGGGGGGAGGACAGCACATCTGTGATTACAGAGTAATCTCTATTTTATTTACTCGGTCCCCTTTCCTGTAACACATGAACAACTTGCTGTTTTAAAGATTTTAGTCTTAAAACCCCCTTTCATATACTGAATTCTATGATTCCCATTCACTGAAAGGAATATGAGATAAGGGGGTTAAGTGGTTTTCAAAAGTCTTGCACAGTCTGCAATGGAGCAGAAAAATGAATTTGGGTTCCTTAACTGTGAGCAAATCTCTGGGTGGTTATTCTCAAAAATAAAACAGTCATTAGTCCTGTCTCTCATTTTATAGTTTAAAATGTGATAACCAAAACCCATGAGTTTCATGTGATTAAAGGCCTGTTTTCATCTTGCATTGTTCTTCAAAAGAAAATGTCCTGCCACATAGGACCTGAGGAAGTGGAACAAAATCTGTAAGAAGTACACACTCAAAATCACATATCTGTTGCTAATTTGTTAAGTACATTCATTTTTGGTTCTTTACCTTTAAAATCCATATTTCCATTTTCTGTATTTTCCAGACATATACATGGGGGTTCTTGGCCTCTCTACAGTTCCAACTGAGTTCATACAGGTATTCATAATTGTAGTACCCTGCTAAAAATCAAAGTGGACAGTTCTCTATTGAAAACTTGGATGCTTCAATTTAATTTTCATACTTTTTTTTTTTTTACATTTTCTTAGTTTTTAATTTCACCTCTTGATTTGAAAATTAACTGAGGAAAGTCTGTTTTCACTTAAGACTTAGGGGAATACTTAGGGGAACTTAGCTTGAGAACGTATTTCACAGGAATAATTATTGAGATTCATCTGTATAGCTCACCATATTTAGCTTGACTCCCTGTCTCTGAAGTCTATAACTTTTCTTCAGATTTATCCTTCAAACAAAACACTTTTTTTATTCTACTTTAAAAATATGGTCTTCTGGGGAGCTGCAAGATAAAGCAATAAAACTCCCTCATATTATTCTTCATACAGAGAGCTCAGCCTGACACATGATAGTCACGTGATCTTCTGGTGAGCCATGTTTTGAAAGATTTCAATTACTTGCATATTACCCTTTATTAGCTCATATTACAAGACTTGTAAGCTCATACTACACAAAAATGTTTTCAACTGTGAGCTGCCACAACTGATAATCAAAATAATGAGGTATTGATAGTGGGCAAAAGTAGGGGATGTTATTTTCTCAAGATGAATTTGAGAGAAGATGGCTTTGTATGTACATACTGTCCCAAATTGCTGGGCCTGGTTCAGTTGTCATTCTTGGTGGAAATTAGGCACAGCTACAGTGAAACTAAAGAAGTTGTATTTGCCTAGACTTGTATGAAGTAAGAAGAGGATAACACATACACCTTCATAGAATGGGATCTTTCACAGGCAGGGCAGATTAAAACACAGTTGGCTCTTATTCATAATCCATATAGACTAGCTAGCAAAGTGCTTTGTGGCAGCACTGCCTGGTTTTACACATTTTGTTTTGTTTAGTTAGGCTTTTCTCTACAAGGGGTTTTATTGTTCAAGAGGGGGCACTCCACCCTTGCTCATAGTCGAATCATGGAGTAATTACTGCTCTTTACATGCCAAGATCTCAGACCAAGAAAAGGCAGCCAATCCTGATACAGGAAGACACACACTGGCACAAAAAAACTAACTAGGGAGACAATGAAGAGAGGAAAACACAGAGTGAGTCTGTATGGGATTGTGCTCTATCTGCCTGTGACAGTAGCATCAGGGGCAATGTTGTTTTTCCCCAGTAGCTTTCCAATATAGTTACTCCATTCACTGATGAATTGAGAGTATGTGAAACTGTGCCAAAGCTAATCAAATCAAATTCCACCCAGCTGGTTAAATCAAATTGCCTGTGCCTTCCTCCACAATGCAAGGGCATCCATGGTACACTCTGCTGAACTGCCTCTTCCCTCCCAAAGCTCACTGCAGGTCCGTGCAGTGTGGGTGATCTTCCCCCATAAGTGTAATGCATGGGTTTCTGGCTGCTTCTGAGTGCAGATCTTATCTCATTCAATGCCTAAAGGAATAATAAAAACAAAAACAACAGTTACATATATATATATGTGTGTATATATATTATATATATATAGGTAAAAATATTCTAGCACAGTTGTTCTTCAAGTGTTTCCCCTAAAACAATGAACTCTTCCCCTACTTGTGGGGAAACTGCCTCTTTCTGCAGTGATTTCAAGCTGAGAAACATGGCACTAATAAAAAGATTGTAATATAAGATAATATGCACTTATCTGGCCCATGTATGTTTTGGGAAGTACTCCAACCCTTGCTCTCTGGTGTATCACCTTCCTTCTTGAAGCAACTGTTTCCTCCTGTACAGTAAGTGGCAATAGGCAGAGTCCCCTGGTTGCCACACGCTTCAGAGTAGGAGTGTGACTTAGGGCTTTGCATTGTTGCCTAGAGTAGTATTTCTTCATGGGCTAGCATGAGACTAATATCCCAATTCATGCACTAAAGTTGAATACATTAATCAAATAGCCCAAATTTCTGTCTTGATCTTCAAAAGAAATCTTTATTTACTCTTTCCCCATTTCTCACTGATTCCAGTAAGGCACTTGATTCCTGAGAAACAAATGTGCTATTCACCAGAGGAATAACTCCACTGATACCATTTGTGTATTTTTAAACCAGATCTCATCTCTTACATAGTCCTTGATAGGTCTGGGTGTCTTCCCTGTGAACAGTAGCTGCAGCTATCTGCCGTGCACAGAAACCTCCACCTCTCTCTGTCGACAGCTCAGCACTTGGGGCTGACAGATAACTTGTGTCAGGGCTGAAAGGATGTCTTCTGGCAGGCACTGGATTTCTACCTCCAAGAAAGAGAATACTGTCTTAACCCTGGCAGAAGCAACACTTTCAGCAAAGGAGAAATCTGCCATAGGAGTAGTCTATGCAAATACTTGTGGGAGGGAATTTAAGACATGATACATGAACGCATTCCCTTGAGGAGCAGCACTGTAAGAGGCCATAAAGCCTGGGTCAGAATCAAGTGTGATGCATTCTGAACTTGCCTTCAGGAAGGAAGTCTGCTAATATTACTGAATTCAGGCTTATAACAATAAATGCAAATATTAACAATAAGAATTGTCAGAGGGACAATAACATTCCTCAGGTGTATTCATGACTGGTTTTAACTGATTTGGAATTTATTACTATCATAAAAAAAATTTAGCTATTACAATCAACAAAGTCTAGGGTATGATTGAGTTGACCAGGCTGAACACTTTGTACATGGGAATGTTAATTTTAAGCTTTTGCATATATTCCAGACAATTATTAGCTTTGTGAGAAAACTGAAACTATGGCATTTTAGAGTGGCTGTACACGCAAACTGTGAGTACAACTCCAACTAAACATCAGATGGCAGTGTGGGGAAGGTATTGTGTGACAGGAATTTCTCAGGCTGTATTTGAAAGATGAGCAGAACCAAAAGATCTGGTTATCACCACTCATCTATCTTAAGGTTTTGGGTTTGTGGGGTTTTTTTTGTTTGTTTTTTTAACCTGTGCTTCACAAATATTTGGTTTGCCAGCAGGAAATAATTTTGGATTAAATAATACTTATAATTTTTATCTGCTCAAAATAGATAAAAAGCTTATATAAGCAAAATACTGACCAATATCTGCTGGTTTGAAACACATTTTTTGACAATGTTCCAGGAAGATTTAAATCACAAAATTTAATGGGTCACATAATTAATTTTAGCCTATTAAAATCCATTGTCTTTTCTATAGTGGAGTATCTTCTGTACAGTGGAGATGCTACAGATTTAAAATATTTTTTGTGCAGGAATAGGCACCTTTTAAACAAAGGTATGTCAGCACTGACCAATTGTGAAAGCCTTGGCCTTAGTTTAGGGAGCTTTACAGTGTTCCTCAGCTGATGCAGTTCCTCCAGAAGGCAAACCCATTAAAATGCATAAACCATAAATCTCAAGAACAGAATAATCTCTAATAAAAGAAGGACATACATTGATTTCTAAGCATGTTAGTAAGATAAAGTGAGCTGCACCTGCTTTACTGTATGAATATTTATCAGATAATGCATTTACATTTGCATCATGCACTTCAGATAGCTGAAATAAAATAATCATAATCAAACCTCAAATATGTTTTCATGGTATATATTTCACCTGTTCTCAGCTCTTACATACCAGCAGGATACCATTACCTTAGAGCAGCATCCCTTTTCTTTGATTTGAAATATGTATTGTGGCACCTTTGTCATTATAATGTACTTCAGCAAGCTCCTAGAGTGAAAAGAGGAGGAATAAAGGTAAAAATTTAGAATGAAAGGCTGCAAGTAAGAAAATAGGTAGCTATCAAGAATAATAGAATTATGGATAGAATATAGAGTGGTTTGGGCTGGAAGGGACCTTAAAGAGCATCTACCTAGTGATCACAGTCACAGCTAGTGATTAAATCTAGTGATTATGTGGTCACAGCCAATGATCACAAATTTTAAATACATTAAAGCAGTTACAATGTCTAGTTTTAAATAAAACACAAAGTTTAAATCAATCCTTTCTAACAAAGAAAACGTCTTTTTAAGCTCTACTTACAAATCTAGAGAAGCAAACTTTGTAATGAACCGATCTCCATCTTTATGTGGTCTGTTTTTTTTCAAAGCTTATGAAAATTTTGGAGTAAGTATAAACTGCAAGTTTTGTCTAAGATTTTGCTACACTAGATTTACAATTGTAACAAGTTTCTAAATAATTAGGAGTATGAAATGTTTATGAAAAAATGTAGTGGGATTGATACTGCAAGACAACAGTTAGCATTACCCAAAAAGTACCCAAAAGACAATGGCACTGGTGCCCTAGGAGTAGTGACACATGAAGTTGTGACACATGGAGTTGAAAAGGCCACAAATGAGCACAAATGTGTCCCTGACTCCAACAGGAAGGTGGAATTTAACAGGGCAGGCCAGATAAATCTTCCACAGAGATCTCACTAGCTTGAGGTCCTCTTGTAAGATGTGGTAAGCCAGGCATTTCAGTAACATCTTACTGTTCTGTTGTATATATACTGAGGTGATTTGACTCTTTAAAAATGGTGTTGAGATTTTCTGATTGTTGCTTATGCCCATTTGAGATTTAACATACCCTGCTGCCAGGCGAAGGTCAGGCCTGGTCTGAGCAGCTCAGGCTCAGCTGGAAAGCAGGTGAGCTCCAGTGGAGGGGCTGAGGTGCCCTCAGCAAGTGATGACATGGTGGTGGAAGGCACTGGTGGAAGGCACTAGTTAGCATGACATCCTCCGAGACAGCATTTCTAAACTAGAGCTAAGCAAAGATTTTCCTTTTATCTGGATGCAAACTACTGAATACACTAATAAAAAATAAAGATGCTAAACCTAGCCTTAATTTGTGAGTTACTCAAACACCAAGGGACAATGTAACTCCAAATCTACTGCCCATACATATTTGGGGAGGGGAGTGTCACAAAACTAGTTACAGAAGATATCCCCAAACCAGTTTGATTTTGTAAAAACTTCACCTTCTTTTTCTTTCTTCTTGATTCTTTGTATCCTACTAGAGTACATTTCCATCAATAAACATTCAAAAGGCAGTTGAAAATAAAAAATCTTATTTCCTTTGCAATGTGTGATCTGAAAAAAAGTAGGATAAAAACTTACAAATCTTTCATGTAGTCATCTGACTTGATCAGATCTTGTGAAAACATCAGATATCATGAGATGCCTGATAGATTAAGTAATGGCTCCCTGGACACAGGGCTGTAAGTCAAAGCATCTTTTATAAACACAGAAAAGTCCTTTTCTCTTGTCAAATTATCAGTGTACCCATTCAACTACCATGACACCATGACTCAGACATCTAACAGTCAAGAGACTTGCTTAATTACAAAGATTTAAAGGAAAAAAAAAACAAACAACAAAAAAAGACTAACGAGAGCCATGCACTATCCCCATCTTTAACATTACTTTGAATAGGGCAAAAGTGGATTTTTGGAAAGCCCTAACGCGGAGGTGTTACAAAGGGGCACTTAACACCCTCCCATTTCCCTGTGCCTGCTATCTTTGGAACGGTCGGTCCACAGGAGAGTTTAACAAGTTCTCAAAGAATCCGTGCAGTGCCTGCAAATCGCTGGGACACCAGTGCCTGTCCCCGGTTGGACGCGGGTCCCCGGCCAGCCTCGGGCTCCGGCCTAGACCCGGGCGGCCCGCGGGGTCCGGGCGCGGTCGGGGAACCACCGAGCAGCCCCCGGGCCAGCGGTGCGGCCTCGGCCCGGCCGGGCCCCGGGGCAGGGGAGCGCCCGGCGCCGGCACGCTCGGCTGCGGACGGCCGGGGGCCCCGCGGCTCAGGGCGGGCTCCGCCGCCGCTCCGCCGCCCGCCCGGCGGGAGGCGTCACCGCCCGCCTGAACCGGAACCGGTTGGCGGGGGCCGCCCGGGGCGGCTGCCGCTGCCGCTGCCGCTGCCGCTGCGGTGTCGCTGCCGCGGAGGCTGCGCCGCTGCCGCGTGGGTGCGTGCGCGGAGCGGGCCCGGCGGCTGCGCGGGGGCGGGGGAGGATGGGGCTGTGCCCCGGCGGGCCCCGCGCTGCCCGCCCGCGGAGGAGGGCGGCTTAGCTGCCGCAGCCCACGCCGGCGGGCCGCGCTGCGGGGCCGCCTCCGCGGATGAGCCGCCGGGGGGAACGGCCGGCGAGTGCAGCCGCAGGGCGCCGCAGCCGCCGCCTCCTCCCCCGCCGCCGCTCCCTCTCGTCGCCGCTGCCGCCCATGGCTTCCCGCCACCCCCGCTGACCGGCCGCCCCTCGCCGCCTCCCGAGCCGGGCCGGGCCGGGGCCGGGCAGAGAAGATGGGGAACACCACGTCCTGCTGCGTCTCCTCCAGCCCCAAGCTGCGCCGGAATGCCCACTCCCGGCTGGAGTCCTACCGCCCCGAGGCCGAGCTGAGCCGGGAGGACACGGGCTGCAACCTGCAGCACATCAGCGACCGGGAGAACATCGACGGTGAGCGCGGGCGGGCAGCCCCGCAGCCCTTCCCTTCCCCTCCGCCCCCCCGCCCCGGCGCCGTGTCCGTCCGGCCGCCGCGCTCTGCGCGGGGCACCGCTCCCGCGGGGCGCAGGGGATGCCGCGGGACATTCCGCCTCCAGAGCCGCCCGTGTGCCCGGGGAGAGCTGTGCGGGACCCTTCGAGCGGGGGCCGGGAGCATCCTCGCACCGCGCCGCATCCTCTGGCGGAGTGCAGTTCTGCAGCCCGGGGCTGCGCTGCCGAGCCCCTTCGCCCTTCAGAGTACCGTGAGGTGACATTACGGGCGGGCTCGGACAGCCGGCGCTGGCTGTGGCCCAGGGGAGCGTCCCTCGCCCCCGGCAGGGCTGTGCCGGGCTCACGTCACCTGCCGGGATGTCACCTGCCAGGCCTCTGCAGGGGTGAGCGTTTAAAGGACAAACCCTGCCGGCGATGAAAGTGGGAGAAATGTTTCCCATGACAACCTTCTCTTGCAGTGACTTTTTCTTCCCTTACTGTCATGGTGAGACGCAGTGCTCATCATGAATACTGCCTCGCTCTCTCTTTCTCTGCAGAGATATTAAAAAAGCCGTGTTCCTGTTGGTTTAGTCGTGACTGAATGTGGTGCTATTCGGCTGCTTTAAAATAAAGCAGAATACAGCTTTATTTTAAAGATGTGGACTGAGTTAATGTATACATGTAATTTAGTTTTTGATTAGCTGAAGTATTTAGTCCTAAAACTTTACTTGCTAAAAGGTCAGCTATCTCATGGGTTTGTTCACATGAACTGCTTTTGGTAGAAAGCCAGAAAGTAGGACTTTGGTGCCCTTCGGTTTGCCTTCTACATTTTTTCATAGCTTATTACATTGTGGTATTAGTGCAGAATTCAGTGTTCAGTCACTTCTTGACACTGGCAAAGTTGTGAATCCCATGGAAGCATATAGGTATCCTCACTGGTTTCTTTCAGTGATGTACATTCTAGAAATAGGAATGTTTTTCAGATGTCTTTGCTACATGCAGCTGAAAAATGGAGTGTAACAGGATCAGTAGGTAGAAAAAAATACATAATGGTCTGATCTGAGAAAGCCAGGGATATGAAAGAACCAATTGTTGATGTGTGAATGATTAATTCTTCCAGCAGTCAGTGGTGTACAGTGTAGCAGGACGCAGCTCTCTCTGATGGTACGGATTTCTCCATCTATAACAACACAGGATGCAGTAAAGTTTTTGGTTAGAGATATGCGGGTTTTGTGCCTTGTTCTCAGTGTGCTTTTTTTTTTTTAATGGATGGGAAGAAAGGCTTTGATGGAAATAGTAAATGCATGAGTACTTGTTAAAATATGCATGCAATGCAGATAAGTTTCTGCATCTTAGTGTTATTTGCAAAAAAAAACCCAGGTATTTTTTGGTTGGTTGTTTCTTTTATTGCGTCAAGGTACATGTGTGTTCTCTCTCTCTCTACTTCTTTATACTGTGGCATGTGTCAAGTGTAGAGTTGAAACCTGTTGTTAGAACATAGAAAACACCTCATGCATTGTTTATTTTAACGTTTTGTTGGTTTTCATCCGAGGCCATTGCCAGTGTAATGCCACAGTTTCAAATGGGCAAGCTGTCTTCAAATTTGTGAATGAACAGTTATGGGTTTCCTTCTGATGCTTTACTCTGCTCTTGGCCCCTTTTATGGCTAGAGACTGAGAAGTAAGTTTTCACTGGGGAGACTGATGGGTAATAGATGTCTGTACATTCAAAACAACTGGACAGTCTGGGACAAAACAACTTTTTGAAGCGTGCTTTGTTGCAGGTCTGTTACCCTGGAGTCACGCTTATTGATGGTCTCTTGGTTAAAGATGATGACTGAGTATTAAATGTAACAGGGTGATTCTTTGTTTCTGAAATTTTATTTTGTATTAGACTAGCTATTATGTTTTTGTTGTTGGATTATTTGAAGTTGCGTGGCATACAGACGTTTATGGATGTGTCACTGGGGTGGGAAAAACCCTTCACAGTAAAGAGCCCTGATGATGTTTTTGCCCTTTTAGAATGAAAGAACAATAGTCTGGTTATCTGTGTTGTGAAGACAGCATGCTGGATGTTTATTCCTTAGTGTTCCTGCGAGTCATAAGGTTTCTCAAATCAGTAGTGTTGCCAAATGTGCCTTTTTAAATTAAATAAATGATGACAAAGTCTAATGCACTGAAAGGAAACTTTTTTGACACTTCAAATTTATTTCTCACTGTTCTTCAGGTGAGAGCCCTTCCATCCTGCTTGGGTATGTGTGTCAGTGACAGGTCTCAAAGTGCAAATTCATGTCTCTAACAAGCATTTACTTTGTCACTGGTACTTTTAGGAACTGTAAAAATCATGTAATGCGGTGGCTTAGTTACTGTGTTTTGTGGGGCAGTTGTTTTCATGCTCATATTAATGGAAATTCAGGAAGTATTTTGTTTTTTGAAGTGGGTAAAGGTACTTGAATAAATCAAGAACTTTTAGAACCTTTAAATCAGCTGTAGGCTATTTTAAGCTTTCAAGAGATGTGTGGTTTTCACTGTTCCAGGCCCTGTTTCTGGCAGTATGAGAAGGAGAAAAAAAACAGGGAGGGATGTCAAATCTTCAAGAATAATTTAACTGGAAATTTTAGTACTAGTGGAACTGTTTGACATCTGCTTGTCTTACGTACTTCATAAGGAAATACTCATAAAATTTGCCTTCAAAATCATGCTTTTGAACTCTATAATTCAAGTTCCATACCCAATCCACTAGTAGTTTTTCAAAGAATAGGTGGAGAAATTATTTTCCAGTGGGAATTGGTTTTATAACAAAATACCTCTACATCACTGGTACTTTGCCAGAAAAATCTCAATTTCTGTAATATTTTACAACTGTTTATAAATTGGTATCTGAAAGAGAAGGGAAGTTTTGAAAGAGTTTTGATGAAGAGGAATTTACCAAGATACTTATGCTGGAGAATCGTAAAGTTGAATTTACCTCTCTTCCTCTTTTTTCTTCCCCTCAAATTTCTAAGAAGGTGGTGAACTTCTACAAAAATCCATGCATGCAAAATTGCCTCCCTGAATATTGTGCACTCACCAGAATGCTTTGTTTTTGTTTGTTTCTGAATGCTTTTTTGTTTATTTTAGTGTTAGTTTCTACAGGCCCATGATAAGGAAGAACACGTAACAGATTTTTAATGTTTTTCTCTTTTGAGGAAGAGCAAGAAAGTAATTGTAACACACCTGAGGTTACCTTATGTTTTTGATGATTTATTGCTTAGGGTGAGCTTCCACATTTTTCAGTGCTTCATTTTTAGAACTTTACTTTTAAAAAAATTGTGGCGGTGGATTCAAAACTTGTAGATTCCTACATCTGTTTGCCACCAAGACCTCTTTTACAGCATTTAATGGCAGCCATAAGTAAAAAATGGTCAAGACCTTCATGTGCCAGATTCTGTATCTCTTTGGATGCAAACTTTTGCCCGTGCAAGCTGTGTAAGCACCTTGGTGTATGGATCGTGTACGTCCTCGCTGGCTGCGCTGCCACAGACAGACTCCCCTGGCTCTTCACATCAGCAAGGCACGATCAGAGCCAGTGGTGGTTTAACTTGGGAAAAGGCAGCATCAGGTGTGATTCCTCTGTTTGAAGCATGATTTCTACAGTCAGCTTTTCAAGCATGCAGCTGTAGTGAGGGGGGTGAAAGGAAACGTCTTACCACAAATATGATGGTGTGAAGCAAAGCTGATACCATACAATGAAACTGGCTGAAAGGCTGTTCTTGGAACAGAGACTAGATGGAGAATTCCTAGGCTAAGAAAAGATGGTTCTTAATGTTCAGCTTCTCCCCATTTTTTCCCTTCACCCCACAAAAATCAGATTTATTTTTTTCCCTTCTCTGTAAACTTCTGCTAATGTTACTAGGTCATGCATTGCTAGCTCAGATAATGTCCTGTGCAACTGTGCATCACTGATAAACCTTTTCAGCCCTTTCCATGATGGCTCAATCATGTTAATTTTTTTTTTCTGCATAATGCACAGACTCCTAAGAATTGACTGCTTTTAAAAAAAGCCATTTATTTGTTCATGTATGTATTTTTTTTCCTGCAGCTTCTTGGAACTGGCATA